TAGGGGTCCTTCCTGGGAAGGCTGGGCCGAGTGTAGGGAACTGGGAGGCCAAGGACTAAACCTGAGTAAACAGAGATATGCTTGAGCTGTCGTTTCTTTTCTTTTTTTAGTTAACTCTTTATTTTAGAGAATTTTAAATGTGAAAGTAGATGGCTCGTTTATAAACCTCCTATGTCCCCATTTCTGAATTTCAACAATAATCAGTTTATGGCATATCATATATACCCCCTCCTGTGTATATGTTTTTGTTTCTTTGTTTGGTGTTGCCTTGTATGGATTCTTTTTTTTTTTTTTTAATCTTTAGAGGGGAAGGGAAGGAGAGCGGGAGAGAAACATTAATGTGTGGTTGCCTCTCATGCGTCCCCTGCTGGGAACTGGCCTGCAACCCAGGCATGTGCCCTGACTAGAAATCGAACCTTGATCCTCTGGTTCGCAGGCCCGCGCTCAATCCACTGAGCTACACCAGCCAGGGCCCCTCCTATATTATTTTAAAGCAAATCCCAGAATCCTGTCATTTTCATCATAAATACCTCAGTATTTATGTCTAAAGAGACACCTTTTTAAAGATTTTATTTATTTTCAAATAGAGAGTAATGGAGGGAGAGAAACATTAATGTGTGGTTACCTCTTGAACGCCCCCTACTGGGGACGTGGCCCACAACCCAGGCATGCGCCCTGACTGGGAATTGAACCTGTGATCTTTTGGTTTGCAGGCTGGCACTCAATCCTCTGAGACACACCAGCCAGGGCATAACCTCTTTAGTTCTTTAGGCCTTTGGCTGTCCATATTGAATTCTGAGGTTTGTTGAGGATACTGTGTGATTTAGTTTTGTTGTAAATGTTGTCATGGGGTTTGCATTTCGCTGTCTAGTTGCCTCTCTGTTTTCATCAGGGATTTGGAGAGTTTGAAAACTGTGCCGCCTCTTTGACTCCCCCATTAACTGGTGTGTGTGTGTGTGTGTGTGCGCGCGCTCTCTCTGTTTGAATCCTAATTTAAATAGTGAATGGATGTGTTTTCTACAATCTACAAAATGTCCCTTCTCCACCTCTTCCTCTGTGTTCTCCCTCCCTCCTCTTTTCCCGTAAACTCCTTATTTGAAGAAACCACATCGTGCGTCCTGAAGAGGGATCCTCTGCTTGTTGCGTCCCTGCGGTGTCATTCAGCACATTCTTCTGTCCCCAGCATCCCCTCCAACTGAGGAGGTGGAACCGAAGTCCTGATCGGGTTCAGGTCCCATGATGAAGTTGTTATATTTAAAAAGAAACCCCAAACCGAAGAGCCCTGCATGGAACGGCTCAAAGAGAGCAGAGAATACAGAAACAGAAGCACTGGCGTGAAAATTTCAGTTGGAACATTTGACTTGGAAGCATAGGCAAATCCATAGGAACAGAGAAGGCAGTGGTTGTGCGGAGCCAGGGGCGCGGGTAATGAGGGGTGACTGCCAGTGGGAACAGGGTTTCTTTTTAATGGGAAGAAATTAGATTGTGGTGATGGTTGCATAACTCTTAAAACCACTGAATTGTGTTTTTTTTTTTAAGGTAAAGTTTATGGTATGTGAATTATATTTCAATGTAGCTGTTTTGTTAGAAAAGGGACTTCGGATTTGAAATGGAAGGACGCCTAATCCTCTGAGGCTGATAGGAAGGAGGTTGGCGGGGGTGCACATGCCGATGCGTTGGGAGTGGCTGCTCCCAGAGGCCGTAGACTCACACAGTCCGTTTTCTAAGGGACATAATAGCTGTTACGTTGGGAGCATCTATAGGCACGTCCATCTCAACATCGTTGCTGCCGGATAGAAAGTACCGTAATGCACACCGCATGTCATTTTTAATTTTCTCATGCCCAATTTAACATCTAATGGCCAATTTAAAAAGTAAAAAAAAAAAAAGTGAAGTTAATGTTTATATCTTTTATTTAATCCATTCTAGCTAAAATATTTCAACATTTGTCTTGGCCGGGTAGTTCAGTTGGTTAGAGCATCGTCTCCATACGCCAAGGTTGCGGGCTTGATCCCTGGTCAGGGCACATACAAGAACCAGCCGATGAGTGCATAAACCAATGGAACAACAAATTGATGTTTCTCTCTCCCTCCCCCTCTCAAATCAGTAAATATTTTTAAAATTAATAAAAATAAAATATTTTAACAGTTAATTCAAAAATTGTTCATCACATGTTTTACACTTATTTCTCATTCAGGTCTTTGAAATTCACTGTGTATTTTACATTTACAGACTCCCCAAATTTCACATGATCGACAGCTACATGTGGGCTGTGCCTGGGTATTGGACAGTGCAGATGAGGAGGTTTAGAGTAGAGCTCACGAACTCGTTCCAGTCTGCTTGAACTCAGTAACTGACCCCTCTTTCTAAGGGTCATTCTCCTGTGCCCCACTTCCTTACCGTCCACCTCAGTCACTCAGTTCTACTGATCTTTATCTTTAAAAGTTTTGTAAACCAGTCTCTTAGTCGACCCTACCGACGCCCCAATTTTAGGGCTCATCACTTTTTGCCTGGGCTGTTGCCGTAGCCTCTCAGCTGGTCTTCCGGTCTCTTCTTTCGTGCCCCCCCGCCCCCAATAAATCCGTCTTCTGCTTTGCAGCCAGAATCCGCCCAGCTGAAAGCTACTCCATGCCACGCCCCAACTTACGACCACTTAGCAGTCCCCACAGCATTCCATAGCAGCCCGCGACCACCGTGTGTCCACAGAGGACTGTTTGAGAATGCGGGCCAACAAAAGTACATATCGTCCTCATCTCGTTCTTTTGAAAAGTTTGTTTAGTGTCTCCTTCCTAATGTACGTGACACAGTAGAACATGTAAATTTATAAAGGAATATGCTTACACTGACGGTATGATCATCCCAGGTTCCTCTGCATGTCATCGAGGGCCGGCCCTTTCCCTGCCTTTGTGCCTCACCTTCTGCCTCGCCCTTCATCGTGCGGTGACACCGCCTATGTGTTTCCGTCTCCGCATTCGTCACCCGTTTCTCTTCCCTGTGTTTACTGCTGCTGCCTCTGCTGCCTGGGTTCCCTTCCTAACTTCCTGCACTTGACTTAACTCTTGTTCTAGTAAGAACACTTAACATGAAAATCTGCCCACAACAGATTTTAAGCGCACGGTGCTGTCAGCTGTAGACACTGGGTCGTGCAGACCTCCAGAACTTACTCATCTCGCACGACCAAAACTTTAGTCCTGCGGAGCAACCATCTCGCTTTCCCTCCAGCCCCTGGCAAGCACCATTGTACTCTCTAAGTCAAGGAGTTTGACTATTTTAGGTACCTCCTGTGAGTGGGATTACGCATTACTTGTCCTTTTGTGTCGGCTTCTTTTACTTAGTATAACGTCCTCCAGGTTTCTCTTCATTGTAGCCTACAGCAGGATTTCATTCTTTGTTGAGGCTAAATAATATTCCATTGAATGCATATAATTACACCACACTGTATTCACCTACCCACCTACAGGCACTCAGACTGTTCCCCTACGGTGGCTGTTGTGAGTAGTGCTGTATAAACACGGGGGTGCCAATACCCGTTTGAGATCCTGACTTCAGGTCATTTGGACGGATACCCAGAAGTGGGATGGCTGGGTCACAGGGCAGTTCTATTCTAAATTTGGGGAGGAACCTCCGTACAGTTTTCCACAGCAGCTGTACCATTTTACACTCCCACAAACAGTGTACAGAGGTTCTCATTTCTCCACACTGTCACCAACACTGGTTATCATTTGTGAATATGTATATAGTGGCCACCCTAACAGGTGAGAAATAATACCTGGTTCTGGTTTGCATTTCCCTGATGATTGGTAACATTGAGCATCTTTTCATATGGTTGTTGGCTATTTGTAAGGTTCTTTGGAAAAATATCTATTTGTGTCCTTTGTCTATTTAATTGGGTTATTTGGTGTTGTTTTTCTATTGAGTTGTGGGAGTTTCTTGGATATTTTTGACATTAACCCATTATCAGATAAAATAAAGGGGTTGCAAATATTACATTTTCATTTTGTCAATTGTTTGCACTCAACTCTTACTCCAGGAAGTCTTCCTCCTGCAGGTTAGACCAGATGCCCCACTCCCCAGGTCCCACAGAACATTGTGAGCGACTCGGACTGGACACTGACCTTGTTATATTGGGTCGTTTGTCGTCATTGGCCTGTTCTGTCTCTTCTCTCCCCACCTGTGCCCCATGGCTTGTTGAGGGAAACGATTTTGCCTCAATTACCACTTTTGTACTGCTAATCACTAATACGGTTCTTGGCATATAGTCGGCAGTCAGATTACTAGAACTAAACTGAATCCCTGAAAATTTTAATGATTATGTTACCAAAGTTTAGACCTAGGCATTAACCAAATTTGAAATAATTGAAGACTTAGATCCATTATTTTTTAAAGGTTTTATTTATTTATTTTTAGAGGGGAAAGGGAGAGAAACATCAATGTATGGTTGCCTCTTGTGCATCCCCTGCTGGGAACTGGCCTGCAACCCAGGCATGTGCCCTGACTGGGAATCAAACCGTGGTTGTTTGGTTCTCAAGCCTGTGCTCAATCCACTGAGCTACACCAGCCAGGGTGACTTAGATCTGTTATTAATACTAGTAACCTCTGTGTGAAAATTGAGTAGATAAATGAAACTAGGAATAGTGGCACTTCTAATTTTAGATGAAAAAATAACTATAAGTATACAGACAGGTAAGTATTGATCCGTATATAAACTTCCAGGGCAGAGTTTTTATCTCTTCATCTCAAGGATTTATTCCCAGTGTGTAGAACAGTGCCTGGCACCCAATGGTAAGTAACCTGGTCGGTAATATTTGCTGAATAAATAGATGATGTGCATAAGAATAGCAGTCTGACTTCATATGCTATTAAGGTAAAACATTTCCTCATCTCCAATTAAAGCTTACCACCTGAAGTAAATCAAATGATTTATCTTCTCATTATTTTATAGTTTTGTTAAGGAAGTTTCTAAGTAATTAAAATGGACTATAATTTGTTTTCTCTTTTAGTAAAAGAAGCAAAAAAGGAGATAAAAATGGAAAAGGCTTGAGACATTTTTCGATGAAAGTGTGCGAGAAAGTTCAGCGGAAAGGTACAACATCCTATAATGAAGTGGCTGATGAGCTGGTATCAGAGTTCACCAATTCAAACAACCATTTGTCAGCTGATTCGGTAGGTAGATCATGCACTTGACATTGACCTTTTTTTTTAAAGATTTTATTTATTTACTTTTAGAGACGGCAAGGGAGGGAGAAAGAGGGAGAGAAACATCATTGTGTGGTTGCCTCTTGCACACCCACAGCTGGGGACCTGGACCACACCCAGGCATGTGCCCTGCCCAGGAATCAAACCACAGACCTTTCAGTTTGTGGTTTGAAGCTCAACCCACTGAGCCATGCTGGGCAGTGCATGCATCTTGAAGATTTTTTCCATGGACCACATTTTGAGATGCACTGTTTACCTGGAGCTTGAAACATGCACCCTTGACTTTTCAGAGTCTAATATCCTCCCAGACAATGCAAGGCCTTAGCCCACTTTAACTCCATTACCCCTTTCTGATGTATATACTGTCATTGTCACGTCTGTAAGTTCTATATATATTCTAGACTCCACAGGACATTCTAGTTTTATACAGAGAGTGTGAATTGGGATTTCCCCACATAGTTACCTTTTGAGTTGGTCTTCATTCATCCTGTATTCCCAAGCTCCGTCTTAGAGCATCTTTCTTTTCCCTGAACAAAGCCCTTTAGTATTTTTAAAGGATTTATTTCTTTTTAGAGAGAGGGGAAGGGAGGGAGAAAGAGAGGGAGAGAAACATCAATGTGTGGTTGCCTGTCGAGTGCCCCCTACTGGAGACCTGGCCTGAAACTCAGGCATGTGCCCTGACTGGGAATCAGACTGGTGACCCTGTGGTTCACAGGCAGGCACTCAGTCCACCAAGCCATACCAGCCAGGGCAGAAGGGCCCTTTAGTATTTTTTTAATTGAGATTTGTTGGTAACATAATCTTTATCTTTTAGATTGTTTTACATTATTTGAAAATATCTTTAGTTCATTTTTACTTTTGGAGGATAGTTTCACTGGGTATAGAATTCTTCAGTACTTTGAAGATATAATACTATTTATTACATATTTTAATATCTTGTTACTATATCTTAACACTTTTATCACTTAATAAAAATATTTTTTAGCAGGCTTATGACCAGAAGAACATTAGGCGAAGAGTTTATGATGCTTTAAATGTGCTAATGGCAATGAACATCATTTCAAAGGAAAAAAAAGAAATCAAGTGGATCGGCCTGCCTACCAATTCTGCTCAGGAGTGTCAAAACCTGGAGGTAAGCAAAGGAAAATCCATTCATACAAAGTAGTTTGCTTTATTTTGCACCAGAGGCATTGTAATTTAGAAATGTAGTTACACAACAAGAAACTATTTCTAATTGTTTGGTATACCGTGTCATTTTTTTACAAATACACTCTTCTATGTAGAGCTTTAGAGCTGGAAGGAACTTCAGAGATATGTAGTCCCCCTGGTGTCCTGGTGACACGGAAGGACATAGAAAACCAAATGGCTTGATTTTTACTGTTTCTTAGAAAAGATCTTTATTCTAATTGAATTCTGAGCACTAATAAATTTTGGGTGACTCGTATAATAGAACTAATATCTTATCCGATGTAATGTTTGCTGTGTGGGCCCAAAACATGGATTCAGCTGTGTGTTTCTTATGTTGAAACGTTCACATAGAGTCTAGAATCAGCGGCAACAGAGTTGCATTCGCGTCCGTGTCAGAGTGGACAGAACGTTCAGCAGTTACATGAACTGGGACCTGATGCTGCAGAAGCATTTTCTGTTCCATTAGCTTGAATCATTACAGAAAATCTTCCCTGGATGAACATGCATCCTGACACACAGTTTCCAAATCTGACATAACTTCACTGTCCTGACCGGAACGGGATGCACTGAGGTTCAAGGTAGCTTATGGAGACAGATGTGGTTGATCTCATGTTTTTCTCATTATCCGACACTATTATACTTGTGGCTGGAGGGAGAAACCGGGCATTTATCATAAGTTATAGGAGAATTGTGTGTATTTGCTGCAGTAGAAAATGCCTTACTTTTCTCCTCCAATAAAGTGGAATTTGAGAATTATTTCAATGACCAATAATATTAAGCTAATAAGATAACTGAAAACTGTTAGCATGTGCTATGTGCTTAACCAAAGAGTATGTGAGACAGAATTTCTGATTCCAAGGAGCTTTCATTCTGATTGAGAGGAGAAGTGTAAAAGGAGTTACCAAAATGTGATTAGTACTATGAAAGAGGTATGTGCAGATTTTCTGGAAAGGGAGATGAGGGAGGACTTTACCAAGAACCAAAGCCCCTGAGCTCAGTCAGGAGGGAGGAGTAGGAGTCCAGGGTGCACAGAGGACCTTCGGGGCTGAGGCTGTGCCTGGGCTGAGGCCGGCAGAAGAAAGCCTGTCCACCACCAGGGGTGGCCAGAGTACAGGCAAGGAGAAAGAAAGGGGACAGAAGCCATTGGGACCTGATCCTGTAAACTGGGAAAAGCTACTGAAGACTTAAAAGAGGAGGGCGGCGGATAAGATGTGTTCTGAAGGGTCATCCTACTCGTGGATTGAAGTCAAACTGGCAGGAGGATGAGCTGGGCAGGTGCGGGGATGGACGGGCTGGAGACCCTTGCGTGGGGGCAGGGCAGCGAGGTCGGGGCAGTTTGCGAGAGGCAGAACACTTGGATTTGGGACAGGAGGGCAGGGGGGCCCGGCCTGTCACAGCTTCAGCCCTTACACGTGGAGAGCCACACCAATTCTTCAGTCAATCTAAAGTGATTTAGGGTTAAGTGTGGTCAAGGTTAGAGGGACAGTGAGAGGGAACTCCTTTTGGCACGGACCACAGTGGACAGGGAGCAAATAAATATTGGGGTAGACAAGAAAAATGTCTTTTCTGGTGTCGTTGACTTTTGCCCACATTGAGTTAGGGAGTCATCCACAAGGGAATTCAGACCTGAATATTTGTTTTCTAGGTGGTTGTAAGAGTGAGGAAAATGATAGTCCTTTGAAGCTGGGGAGTTTGTGCTGTAAGCATGTTTCTTGCTACAAGGAGGAATCGCGTATGGGATATGTAAGCTAGCTGAATCAGCAGCTGTGCTATTTAAGTCAGTTAAAATACACCATTTTTACCTCAATAAAAAAATAAAGAAAAGAAAAGGAAGGAAGAAGGAAAGGAGAGGGAAACCTGGTATGATTTCTTTTATTGGGAAAGGGATATTTACACATGTGAAGCAGAAATGATAGCAGGTGGTACAGGATTAAAAGTTAACTTCTGCATGGTCGGGGCAAGTAGGAGAGCAGTAGAAGGTCCTGTGCACCACCTGCAAAGAGTCTGGTACTAACTGAGTTATTGAGAAATACCCATACCCAGGAGAACACAGATCAGTAACTTTCTTTAGAGAGAGCTTTCTCTCAGAAACCCCAAGTACTATGTGTATTCTTTGACCTGGCAATCAGCCAAGTGGTTTCTAACAAAAAAAAAATCAAAAAAATTAAATGTTTAAATAAATAAAATTTAAAGTAAAACTAAGTCAGTCTAACTGAGATCTTAAATGAGGACTTACTTCATTCTTCGACGTGGGAGTGGAATAGAGCAAAGCAATTAATATTAGGGTCTCTGGAACCAGACAGCTTGGGTTCTTGCCAAGCACTAAACCGCATGCCCTTGGGCAATTCCTTAACCCTCTGCACCTCCAGTTCCTTACCTGCAAAGTGGGTAACCGCAGGGCTCCCGCTCCTACACGCTTTGTGAAGGTGAGTTAGATAATGTGTGTCAAGTGCTGAGTTGAGTGTCGGCTGGTAGAGTAAGTGTTCTCAAGTGTAGCTTTCACTCTGTTACAAGTAAAGTAATAAGTAGCCACAGGTACTGAATACCACGTATTCATTACGTGGATCGATTTCATTACTGATAACAGTTGGCACAGTTCTGCCTCTTGCCCGCTCATTTACCCAGAGCCTTGCCCCCCCACACACACACAAAGAGATGTAGTTTGTCTTTATTGATGTTGGTGCTCAAAATGGGTTTCATTTCTCTAGAGAAAATTCTTACTCATCTCAGAATTGGGGCCTGAAAATGAGCCGTACTTATACTCTAACGTTCATGTTCTTTTGTGACCTGTGTTTTAAAGATAGAGAAGCAGCGGCGGATAGAACGGATCAAGCAGAAGCGGGCCCAGCTGCAAGAGCTTCTCCTGCAGGTAAGGATGCCAGGATGTTTCCCAGTAATAAAGGAAAATGAAGAAAAGACACGAAGGAAGGAAGAAGAGAGAGAGAAAACTTTATTCTGCTTCTCCACTTACTTTTTTAGAGTCAGCATTTTCTGCTTTGGGGGGCCTTCAAGGTGGTGCCTGGGGGGACCACAGCAGGGCAGCCTCCGCCCCGCCGAGCCCTTGCCGCGAGCGAGGCTCTGCCTTTAGCCGGTTCCAGCCCCCGTCCTCAGGGCCCATGGCCACTCACCTGCCCTGTGTGAGACTCATATTACACAGCAGCGTACTTTCAACATGTGTCATTACTCCGACCAGAAACTCTGTGTGTGTGTGTGTGTGTGTGTGTGTGTGTGTGTGTGTGTGTGTGTCCTAGTTTGGAATACCAAGAAGTAAAGCTGGTTAAACTTCAGGCATGTTGAGTAAGATAATCAAATCCACCTGTAGTTCTTATTGTCTGTAAGTAACAGCATAAAATGCAATGACTCAGCTTCATAAACATACCCAACCTTCAGTGCATTTCTGTTTAAATGAAAATTAAATTTTATGGTGTAATAAGGATCCCTATATTAATACTTTTTTGCACAACTGCCCAGCATTGGGATGATTTTTAAAAACGGTATAGAGCGTGTGTAAAATTCCATGAGGTGAAACGGCAGGGTGGAAGGGCCGTCTCCCACGTTCGGTGACTGTAGTTGGTGTAGATTCACTGTGAGCCCCACGTGGGCACTGTTTTCAGTCCAATCAAAAAAAACTTTGTAAAATGAGTCAGAGAGTCTTTATGCGTTTGCTTTTATCAGCAAACTGTCTTTGTTTTGAAAAGCTTTCAACCAGTCGTAAAATCAGCTTTGATTTGAGTAACTGTAGGATTTAACCCTCAGCGGACGATACGTTTATTGATCTGAGACAGAGGAAGGTCAGGGAGAGAGAGAAAGGCAGAGACATCGACTGGTTGCCTCCATGTGCGCCCTGACCACCAGGGGTCGAACCCGCAACCTAGATGTGGGCCCTGACCAGGGATCGAACCTGCAACCTTTCTATATACAGGGAAGTTGGGGTGTGATCCACTTACCAGAAATAAAGATAGCGGAAAGTTACTAAATATTATAGCATGTTTTATCCTAAAATATTCATTTTGTCTAATGGACAGAATATGTTGAGTATCCTTCAGTATTCCAGATTTTTGTTTTTCACTCCCTAGATGCTTATGTTATGCCTTTTGCTTTTCTTTCACACTCACGTACAGCTCAGGGGCAGGGCGGGCCGTTCGCCCTCACAGAGATCAGTGTCCCACCGAGAGGGGAGCAGGGCCGGGGCAGGGAGCAGCCGCTGGTAGAACAGAGACTTTCCAAACGGAGGGGGCCCCAGCGACGGGGACGTGTCTCTCTCTTTCCTGTGTTCTGTGTCTGCTTCTCACACCGAGGAGGCATCTTCTGCGTTTTTCCTGTTGGATGGCTGAGTAAGATTTTGTTCGAACAGTGTTCTGCGGCTTTAAAAAAGACCTTGAAGGCTGACTGTCCGTTCCCATCGGACAGCTCCTCTCGTAGGGGCCTGCGTTCTTGCAGAGCCGGCCCGCCAGGCCCGCGTGGCGTGGCTCCCACACGGTCACCGTCTGCCCCGCGGTGTCCCCGTCCTGGCGCCGTTAGCTGCAGTGTGTCCCTGTCCACGTGTGGTTCCGAGACGCCGCACAGCCTTCCTCACAGTTCCTCACCAGGGTCTCGGGCCTTCGGGGGCTTGACCTTGGGCATTTTATTTTGATTTATTGGGTTTTTAGAGAGAAAGAAGAAGGGGGGGGAGGGAGAAACATCCGTGCGTTCTGCTTATTTATGTTTTTTCTCTTTTAATTATATTTTATTGATTATACTATTATAATTGTCCTGATTTTCCCCCTTTTACCCCCTCTACCCAGCACCCCCCACTCCCTCAGGCCATCCCTCACCAGTGTTCACGGCCGTGGGTCATGCATGCAAAGTTCTTTGGCTGCTCCATTCCCTGTACTGTACTTTACATCCCTATGGCTGTTCTGTAACTACCTATTTGCGCTTCTTCTTTTTTTTTTTTTTTTAAGATTTTATTCATTTATCTTTAGAGGGAAAGGGAAGGAGAGAGGGAGAGAATTATCAGTGTATGGTTGCCTCTCCTGCGTCCCCTGCTGGGAACTGGTCTGCAACCCAGGCATGTGCCCTGACTGGGAATTGAACCGCGATCCTCTGGTTCGAGGGCCCGCGCTCATCCACTGAGCCGCACCAGCCAGGGCTCCCTGTTTTTACTTCTTAATCCCTCACCTCGTCGCCGATTCCCTGAGGCTCCCCTGTCATCTGGCAGCCATCAGAATGCTCTCCATGTCCGTGGTTCTGTCTCTGTTCTTGTTTGCTTAGTTCGTTTTTTAGATTCAATTGTTGATACGCATGTATTTATTGCCATTTTATTATTCATATGTTTGATCTTCTTTTCTTAAATTAAGTCCCTTTAACATATCATGTAATAATGGTTTGGTGATGGTGAACTCCTTTAGCTTTTTCTTGTCTGGGAAGCTCTCTATCTGCCCTTCGATTCCAAATGACAGCTTTACTGGGTAGTCATCTATGTTGTAGGCCCTTGCTTTTCATCACTTTGAATATTCCTTGCCAAACCCTTCCAGCCTGCAAAGTTTCTTTTGAGAAATCAGCTGACAGTCTTATAGGAACTCCCCTGTAGTAACTAAATGCTTTTCTCTTGCTGCTTTTAAGATTTTATCTTTAACCTTTGGCAGTTTAATTATGATGTGTTGTTTATTTATATGTTCATTGGTTGATTCTTATACGTGCCCTGATGAGGGATCAAACCCTTAACCTTGGTGTATCGGGACAGTCAGTACTCTAACCAACTGAGCCACTCAGCCAGGGCTTTAGCATGTTATTTTTTAAATGTTTCTCAGTATACTTGTAATTATTTGTTTATCAGAAAGAATGGTGCTTGGCAGGATAATTCTCATATATGTATTTTGTAAAGATTTTATTTATTTATCTTTAGGGGGGAAGAGAAGGAGAGAGGGAGAGAAACATCAGTGTATGGTTGTCTCTCGTGTGTCCCCTGCTGGGAACTGACCTGCAACCCAGGCATGTGCCCCGACTGGGAATCGAACCTCGATCGCATGGTTCGCAGGCTCGTGCTCAATCCACTGAGCCACACCAGCCAGGGCTCATATATGTATTTTTTTCAGTCCTAAATTTCTGTTCCTCTGTGGTCTCTCAAACCAAATATTTATGGAGGATTTCAACCCTGGGCAACCTAGTTGTCAACATTTATAAAAACAAGTCTCTTTATTGAAATGAAACCCAAAATATAACTGAAAACAACTACTTTTGCTCAGAAGAGCAAAAGAAGGCAGACATACAACTTCTTTCCTCCTAGTGGTTTGTTTTTCTTTCCTTCATTGAATAACACTGATGAAACTGTCATAGAAAGTAAATAAAACAGCCCTTGCGGGCGTGGCTCAGTGGGTTGGTTGTCATTCCACAAACTGAAAGGTTTTGCCAGTTCAATTCCTGGTCAGGGCACATGCCTGGGTTGCGGGCCAGGTCCCTGGTTGGGATGTGTGAGAGGCAAGCAATCAGTGTTTCTCCGGTAAATCCATGTTTCTCTCCCTCTTTCTCCCTCCCTTCCCTTCGCCCTAATAATAAGGAAAGAAATAAAGCAAATTAAACAAGTTGTCCACAAACACTAATAATTTGCCACACAAAGCTAGCTTAATTTTTTTAATGGTTAATGTCACAATTCACCGACATCACATGGCAGAGGTAGGGTTCACCTGCATGCCGCCACCTCCTTTTTCTTCTCCATGATGTGGGAGAGGAGTGGTGTGGGTGGGTGGCACCTGCAGACTACCCAGGCTCCCGGCTTATATCAGTGCGATGGTCCCTTTCAGCCCTTAAGCCTGGTCCTGAGCCACTAATCAGCTAAGCTAAAGCTGTTCAGCCTCTGGAACAGATGTTGAGTCCGGAAAAGAACAAAAGGCTAAAGGAAAATTAAAAGGCAAAAATAAGGAATCAGCCCCAAACAAAGCAGAGGGGATGTTTGTTTTTACTGTCAAAATAACATTCTATTCAGTGTATGCTTTTATTGCTCCCCTTGCCCTGAAGAACCACTGGTGCCGTATGATGTGCGTAAGGTCAAACAGTGACTCATAAATGTGTCCAGCGCCTGACTTATCACTGCTCACGTCCATCCCCGCGCCCCCCTCCCCCCCCCACCAGGTCCTCACGGGGGCACTGTGGCCACAGGCCGGGCGAAGTGTGGGCGTGTCTCCCAGGGCACTTTTTCTTCTGAAAGGGAAGAGAAAAGCTAGGCAGAAGTATTTAAACAAAGGATTCTTTTCATGTTTAAATACTTTCACAGTTTCAGCATGTTTTTCCTCAACATTAAATGAATTAAATAATGTATGTGCATATAAACTAGCTTGTTCTTTAACAGCAGAAGATAACAGAGTGGGACCTAAGTAATATTTAATAATGGTGTTGCTAGTGGTAGTTTTTTTATAGTCATTTTGGACACACTGTTAGGGCTACAGTAAGCTGGTGTCTCTTGTTTTATGCATTTTAAGAGAATAAATGTTCACTTTCTAGGGAGCTAGCACCCAGCCATTTTAAGATAATAATAATCCTAATCAAACTTTAGTTAAGACCCAGAACCTCAAATAAACAATCCTAGGATAAGATTGCCAGAACACAGAAAATAACCCAAATTCATCAGCACTGGGGCGGGGGGGGGGGGGGACCGGCTGGTGAAACTGAAAGGGAACGTGCAGCCCTTTCCTCCAGTATCTGTCTGTCTGTCTCGAGAGCTGATGAAAAGCTTGCACTGTGTGAGGTCTTTCTAGCTGTGGAACTTGGACACATTTGCCTTATTGTGGGGGCGGGGAGGGGTTACCTGGCCAGGTGGCTCCGTTGTTGGAACATTGTCCTGTGCCTCAGAAGGTCGTGGGCTCAGTCAGTCCCCAGCCAGGGCACATATGGGAGGTAACCAGGCGATGTTCTCTCACACCGATGTTTCTCTCTCTCCCCCTCTCTCTAAAATCAATAAACATACCCTGTGGTGAAGATTAAAAATAATAATAAAGGAGCATCAGTTTCTTTGACCTATGAGTAAGGGTTATAACTAAAAGTAGCAGCAAGGTTCACTGTAAAGATTCAGGCCCTGATATATTTTATCATCGCTGCCAAGCCTCAGATCCAGGCTGTGCCCTAAGGACCCTTACAAGTCCTGTGAAGGATCCTAAGGGGCGGAGGAGGGCGCCGCTGGCTGGGCTCAGGGCGCCTGGCCCCACCGCCGCCAGCAGAGCAACGCTGCTCTCGTGTGTCTTGTGAAGTGCATGTCTCATAAGATTCCTTCTGAAGACAGGGCTCTGTGGCTTTGCAGAGTTTGCATGTCACCGGGCTAGAGATGACCTAAAAGATGTATTCACCCGTGCGGCTCAGCTGATTGGAGCCCTGGTAGGGGCACGTATGGGAGGCAGCCAATCGGTGTTTTTCTCTCGCGTCGGTGTTTCTATCAGTCTGTCTATCTCTAAAGGCAATGAAAAAGTGTCTTTGGGTGAGGATTTAGGGGGAAGAAAACGACGCATTTAACCCTGAACCCTCGGGAGTCCGTGTTAGCCAAATGGAACTGAGAGCTCACGTGTCGTCACTTCCCCACGTCACTCTGAGAAGATCCATGGGCGCCGGGAACATGGGCCCCGCTATTTACATAAGGATGATGTCGGACACCATTTACATGTATATTCTTTCTGGAAATATATTTATTGAGTTGGGCCATTCTAATCATTTTTCTTAAATGTTTAATTCACGTATAGGTGGAAGCCCTTTTAAACTTTCTAATGAAACTATATTTTAATTCCAGCTCACCCACATTAAATGACTGTGTATTCTTTTCATCGGTCATTACAGCAAATCGCTTTCAAAAACCTGGTGCAGAGGAATCGGCAAAATGAACAGCAGAACCAGGGCCCTCCCGCTCTGAACTCCACCATTCAGCTGCCATTTATCATCATCAACACGAGCAGGAAGACAGTCATAGACTGTAGCATCTCCAGTGACAAGTGAGTGAGAGCGGGGGAGGGCGGCAGGCCGGCCAAGGTCCGTTTTTTGAGATTCCACGTCTAACTGAGGTCGTTCTGTATTTTCTCTGACTTAATCTCATGTCATGTAACGCCCTCAAGGTCTGTGCACGGTGTCACGAACGGCAGTTTCCTTCTCTTTTTTATGGCTGAACGTTTCACTGGGTACACACCTCATTTCCTTTATCCATTCATCCACCGAGGGACACTTAGGTTATTTTCACAGCCTTGGCTATTGTGAGTAATGCTGTGGGGAGCATAGGGGTGCACAGATCTTTTCAAAAGAGTAATTTTGTTCCCTTTGCGTATTTCCCAGAAGTGGAATTCCTGGGTCAGACGGTAGTTCTGTTTTCAATTTTTTCAGGAACCTCCGTACTATAGTAGTAGCTGTACTAGTTTACAATCCCACCAACGTACTTTTGCATTTGAGCTAAGGTTGATGGTAATACTCATCACAGCAAGTGAAAAGCAGCAGTTTTCAGAACGGAATGAATGTGTAATTTATTTTACCCTTCATGAAAATAGCTCACATCGTTGGTCTGCAGCCCAAGCCCAGGGTCGTGAGACGGCTGAGGGCTGATGGTGCAGAGCGAGGCGGGCTCGGGGTGCACCGTGGCCGCCCTGCTCAAGCTGCTGCCACGCTCTGTTGTCTGAAGAACAGGCGGGCACCGTACCTGGGCCTCTGTCGCTTCCTAGCCTTTCAGGGAGGGTTAAATGAGATTTAATCCTGTAAAGTTGGATTCAAGCAAGCACTTTATAAATGTTAAGTGCTTTTCTAAAGGGTTAATGTATAATTTATCAATCACTTTGGGATACATTTGCAGGCAAAGGAGGGCTTGATAATTACGCAAGTACCAGAGGCCGAGCCCAGGCCTGTTCCAAGGGCTGGAACTTGCAGCTCCTCAGAGCCGAAGCATCGCCCTTGGGCTTCTCTTCCCCGGGGCTCTCCCAGTCCCCTCCCTGGCAGTGCTGCCCCCTGTATCTGCATTGCAGGCAGAGGTTCTGGACCACTTATGTCAGAAGTCACCAAGGGAAAAAGAAGAAGAGAAACAGTGAGCAGGGATTTCAAAAGTATTTGATAATTAAGACTATAGACACAATTAGAAATTAGAGACTGTCATAGGCTATGTGGTCGGGAGATCTGTATAGTTTCCTCTATCTGTGTAGTTTCTTAACCTCTCGAAGACCTCATTCCTTTATAAAAGTACAAATTATGGTATTTAAGCGGTTTACAAAAGTTACAGATGTATTCCTAAAGGTCCAACCCTGCAGTCAGTAAATGGTAGATGTCTGTGTTGTTACTCACGCACTTAAAAATTCTTTACAGAAGCCTTTGTCTGAAAGAACTAACATTAAAACTGAGAATTCTAGAGAAAGGTTAACGTATTTTCCGGGGGGGGGGAGGGGAATACATATTAGAGTTCTAGGTGCTTTCTCCAGCTAGTCTCTTGTTTTGTGGGGAGCTGTTAAATTCCCTTCTTCGGTTAGTTTCTGAGTCTAAAAGGGGTTGCAGGAAATGTGGGAGCCATTTGCCTCAGGGCTTTGCAGATTCTCTTTGCCCCTCCTGCTGGAATCTAGTCAAGTCTCCAGTCCCCATCCTCCAGGGTGACTGACTCACACTCTCTACCGCCTGCGAGGGGGCGGGAGACACTGAGAAGCTTGTAGGAGCTTGTTATTCAAGGCAGGTCCTAAAGCCTCATCTCTCAGTTACTTTACAATCTTTTCCCCTTAATCAGCCAGGCAGCTTTCCCACTATGAAGATTAAATTTACAAAACCCTCTGCTTCTTTTTTTTAAATTTATTGATTTTCTTTTAAAGAGAGAGAGGCATTGATTTGTTTTTCCACCCATGCGTTTATGGGTTGACTTCTTGTATGAGCCCTGTCCAGGGATCAAACCTGCAACCTCGCTGCATCAGGACGATGCTCTAACCAACTGAGCCACCCAGCCAGGACCAGAACCATCTGCTTTTCATGTATGACTGAAACCGTCTCTGTGGAAGGCACCCACTTCAGATTTTTGTTACTCGTTTGTTTTTATCCTGAAAATGTGTTAATGTACTTTATTCAGATGTATAGACTTAATTACGTAATATGGCATTTTACTTCCCATTATCATTTCTGCCCTTATCTAAGATCCAGCAGAAAAAGTTTTACCCTGACATGATTTGAGTAGAATTTTGTGCCCTGACCACTGTGGCTCAGTTGGGCATCGTCCCACAGGGCGAAGGGTCACTGGTCCAATTCCCAGCTGGGGCACACACCTCGCGGGCTCGCTCTCCTGACGGGGCACATGCAGGAGCCGCCGATTCGAGTTTCTCACGTCCGTCTTTCTCCCTCCCTTCCCCCTGCTCTATAAAAATAAATAAAACCTTTTTAAAAAAATAGAATTTCATGGCACTGTAAAACCCACACTGTCCCCACGAGTCCGAGGCCTGTGGGTGACAGGGCCCCAGGGCCTGGCCTCGCGGTCAGAAGGGACTGCTTCTCCCTCCGTTCTCCTCTTTACTGAAAGCCTGTGCTGAGAGCTGGGCATCCTGCTTGGGTGTTTTTCAAGAACATTTGGAAATACACTGTGTATTACATGTGACACTTTCTTCCTAAGACATTTCACTCCTTCGTCCCTCAAGACAGGATTTGGGGCTTGGCTAGTTTGTGAAAAGTTCGTTAGTTGCTTAACAGCTTTTTTAGCTATAGCTAACACCTGACTCATGAAAACAATGAAGTAAGCATCCACCATGTTTTTTCCTCGATCCTAGTAGGCCAACTCATAGGAGGGTTACATAAAACTGGAAGGCCTTCTTAATATTTTATTTGTTGTGACAAAGTTGTAGACAGCTTTGAAAAGTATTGGATTTAGATCAGAATTCCTTTCTCCAGTTTGTGAGCTTAATGAGGACCATGGTGCATGGACCCCTTTTGCCCGTCACAGGAAAGTTGTTTTAATTAGGAAAGCGGCACGTTTGAGATGTCGTCTCCTGGGTGTAGCAGAATGACCCTTGTTGCTGTAAATGATAATATCTAGTACCGTAGCTGAACGCCGAGCTCTTCCATGTAACGTGCAGGGTGTAAAACCCTTCAGTCCTCGGCACCACAGGAATCCCCGCATCAACCTTGTTCCCCGTGCAGGTTTGAGTACCTTTTCAACTTTGACAACACCTTTGAGATCCACGACGACATCGAAGTTCTGAAGCGGATGGGGATGTCCTTCGGCCTGGAGTCAGGCAAGTGCTCCCTGGAGGACCTGAAGCTGGCCAAGTCGCTGGTGCCGAAGGCTTTAGAAGGCTACATCACAGGTATGTCGGCCGATGCTTTCACGTGCGGTCCCTGATCGATGCCAGACCCTAGGCAGGGGGTCCAACCCCTTGGCGTCTCTGGGCCACACGTTAAATACATTGTGATATGTAATCACAAAAAGATCTCATAATGTTTTAAGTAAATTTACAATTTTGTGTTGGGCTGCATTCACAGCCCTCCTGGGCCGTGGGTTGGACACCCTGCTACGTGCCAAAACCTCCGGTTCTCACAGAAAATGAGGTCAGGTGCCCTGTCTGCCCGCCCTGGTCCTCAACCTGTCCTGCTTCTTTAAGGGCAGCCACTCTCCTGGATTCCTTGAGTGTCGTCACTTGCTTTTATTTAACATACAGAGTAAGCTGGAAACATGTATTTAGTTTTGCCTACCCCTGACCTTGACTTAAGTGGAATCATAGGGATATGTTTTTTTGTGGTTTGATTTTTTTTTACTCAGCTCTTAAGATTCACCCATGTGACACAATGTGGCTGTGATTCATGCATTTTTACTGCTGCATAAAATTCCGTTACATGAAAATTTCACAATTTCTTTGTTCATTGTACCAGTGATAAGCCTTTAGTTTGGTTTCCCGTTCCTTAATATTAAAAAGCACCGCTACCTTGAACATCCCTCCAGTCACCTCCAGCGATGCTGTGTGGAGCGTGTGGAGCGCAGAGCGACACCGTGGGGCCTGCGGCAGGCGCGGTGCCCGCCACCCCCGACGATGCCCGGAGTTCACCGAGTTACACTCTCACCGGCAGGGTGGGCGTGTCCTGTTTCCCCAGTCCGGTGGATGCTGAAGTGGTCATTTTTATAAGTTGACATTTAATTAACACACCTTAGAAATAGACTGTTTTTAAGTGTATAATTCAGTGGTTCTTAGTATATTCACACGGCTGTGCCATCACCACCACCAACTCTAAAACATTCTTACGGCCCCCGAAAGAAATCTTGTATTCCTTGGCAATGACCCCCTGCCCCCCGACTTCCTCCCAGCTTCCGGCAGCCCCTGACGTCCTTTCCGTCGCTGTGGGTCTGTCCATCCGGACAGTTCGTGTAAGTGGACGCCCACAGCACACGGCCTCCGTGACTGACCGCTCCTGTCTCGTCCGTGCCTCACCCCTTTTTCATTGCCCTCGTGCGGCTGCACCGCAGTTTGCTCGTCCGTTACCTGCAGGAGGACGTTCAGGCTGCCTCTGCTTTTTGGCTCTTAAGTGATGCTGCTGTGAATATTCTCGTGCAGGTTTTTGTGTGAACATAAGTTTTCAGTTCTGTTGGGCATATACCTAGGAATGGAATTGATGGATCATATGGTAACTTTACATTTAACCTTCTGAGGAACTGCCAGACTATTTTCCAAAGTGACTGTACCACTTTACACCTACCAGCAATGTGTGAGGTCTCCATTGCTCCCCATCCTTATAAACACTTGTTGTTTTCCACCTTTTATTATCGCTGTCCTAGTAGATGTAGTATTTCACTGTGGTTTTCATTTGTATTTCCCCAGGGACTGATGATTTGAGCAGCTTTTCGTGTGCTTTTTGACCAGTTGTATATCTTCTTTGGAAAATGTCTGTTCACATCCTTTGCTCATCTTTAAATGAGGGGTTCTTTATCTTTGTACTATGAGTTATAAGAGTATACTGCATACACTCGAAAACACTGCATTTCCCTTGTTCTGTAATTCAGATTTCTCCCCACTAACTCGGAAACCTCTCCGAGTGTCCGAAGTTACTAAGGTCACAGCACGTGCTGCACATGGAGTTTGGGTGCAGAGACGGTGCTTCCGCCTCTGCTTTGGGCCGTTTCCTTCATTATAAGTATCAGCCCCTAGAATTTCACATCACGTTTTAAAGGCATTTAATAAGTTCTAAGGTATGTTCAATCACATAGAAACAAAGAAGTAGTTTTAATTTTGTTTTGTTTTATGGCCCTTTGGTCACAACACAAGTGTCTGTTGAATGAGACTTGGTTTCTGTTGAATTTAGTTCTTAAATAAACTGGCATCATCCTCCTCTTGCCCCTCGGTCCGTGTCCCGCCCCGCTCCCCACCGGCCCGTCCTCCCTGCCCTCCCCGCAAGCACGACCTGCTGATTTGTTAACAGTCTGGTCCCACTGGCAGTCCAGCAGGGCCTGAGGACAGGGCCTGCTCAATAAATCACTGCGACTTTATTTTAGCCTGTTCTCTTTGTAAAGGCTCGGGGCCATGAGGCAGCTTGGCTCCGAGGTCTTTACCTCACTGGCAGCTGGGATGCAGACTTTCTGGGTAGTTCACAAGAAGAAACATGTGCCTTTAGTGTGCAGAGGGACAGAGGGGCTCTTGAATACGATCACAAGAACCATGGGGTGGTTTCTGTGATCACGTGGAAAGAACCTTGGGCTTTTCAAAGCCGTCCTAAATAGACAATTTAATGTGTTCCGCTCACAAACAAAAAGCAGTGCATTGAAGGAGTGTCCCTATGTGCTCATTAATATTCAGCACAGGATTCTGGCTTTAATTTTGTCATGTACAGATTTGCTATTCAGTGTTTTTTAAAGTCGGGTGTTCTTAGGATTGAAGTTGTTGTCTTTTACAGCCTCCTTCATTAGCCTGTGAAGAAGGAGGGTCGCGGGGCCATTCTACACCAGTGGGGACACTTAGGTTACTTTTCCTGCACAGGATGCCTCTCGCTTGGGCCGACGGGGCCCGAATAGCAGTTTCTAATCCGAACACACACAGTTTTGTGGTTTTTGCACAGTGATTATAAAACTATTTTACCCTAACCGATGTGGCTGAGTTAGTTGGGCATCATCCCACGAAGCAAAACATCACTCACTGGTTCGATTCCCGTCAGGGCACATGCCCGGGTCGTGGGTTCAGTCCTGGTTTGGGACCCTCATGAGAAGCAATTAATTGATGCTTTTCTCCCTTTCCTTCTCCCTCTCTCTAAAAATAACTAAGTAATTTTTTTAATTAATAAAACTTTTTTATTGGTTATGTTTTAGTGTTACTTTCATTTTACTCAGCATGTGAACTTTTTTAAAGATTTTATTTATTTTGGAGAGGGGGAAGGAAGGCAGAAAGAGAGGGAGAGAAACATCAGTGTGTGGTTGCCTCTTACCTGGCCCCCACTGGGGACCTGGTCCGCAACCCAGGCATGTGCCCTGACTGGGAATCAAACTGGTGACACTTGGGTTTGCAGCCCGTGCTCAATCCACTGAGCCATACCATCCAGGGCTGAATTTTTGTTTTAAAGATTTTATTTACTTATTTCTAGAGAGATTGGAAGGTAGGGAGAGAAACATTAACATGTGCCTCTTGCATCCCCCACCCCTACTGGGGACCTGGCCCAAGACCCAGGCATGTGCCCTGACTGGGAATTGAACCGGTGACCCCTTGGTTCTCACTTTGACACCCAATCCATTAAGCCACACCAGCTAGGTCTTAAAAACATTTTTTAAAGATTTTATTTATTTATTTTTAGAGAGGAGAAGAGAGGGAGAGAAACATCAGTGTGTAGTTGCCTCTTGCACCCCCCCTTACTGGGGACTTGGACTGCAACCCAGACATGGCCCTGACTGGGAATTGAACTGGCAACACTTTGGTTCCCAGGGCCGCCCTCAGTCCACTGAGCTACACCAGCCGGGCCTAAAAAACTATTTGATTAAATATAATAAAAGCTCATTTTGGCAATCATGTTTTCTGAGTGAGTATATGTTTGATCTGATAATGTAGTTCAGAGGATTTCTTTTTAGGAATATATTTAGATAGATAGATAGATAGATAGATAGATAGATAGATAGATAGATAGATAGATAGATAGATGCAAATATATGGTCTCCTACTTTGTAAACTCACTATTAAAAAAGACTGTACTCATTCATTCAACAGCATTCAGACCTTGTATGTTCCCATCACTGCCTTCTCTGAGCCTACATTCTAGATAAAGAGATAAGTATTAAACAAGTAAAATTACAATAATAGTGGATCAAGGAGAAATATGGTGTATCATAGAAATTAAGTTGCAAAGATATACCCAAAATATGTCATGCCGACTGAACCAGTAATGCCTTTCTCACCCCCATTAAAAGCATGACTGCTTATGACCTTTAAAAATAAGTTTTAATCTGAGTTAGAAGCAAAAGATACAAGGAGAAAGAAGAGATCTTTGATGACTAATAGCACTGAGTTCCCCAGGGGGCACTGGAAAAGATGGTGCAGTGGGGGTTTGTCCAAAAATGTGTCTGTCGTGAGTCCCTGCGGTCAGGACAGCCGGCGTCTGGGGGGAGCAGTGATCGCCGTCCCAGTGAGCTCCCCCCGGAGGCCTCATTTAGGAAAAGAGAATGGGGGTCTGCAGTTGGTGTCATTGAATTCCTTCTTGCTGTAGTCTGCCTCCACGAGGGTGGTGTTTTTTCCCCTGCTCTGATGTTTTAGAAATGTCTTTTCCCAGCTGAAAAACTGGGTTCTTCCCAGGGCAGGAAGCTTGTCTAACTGTCCTGTAGAACTGGCCTCTGCCCTCACTGGTCCGTGTTCTTCACGGCGTAGCAACAGCAGCCACAGAACTTGCAGAGCCCACATCTTGTCTCTGTTTTTTCCTGTAGATATATCCACAGGACCTTCTTGGTTAAATCAGGGACTGTTGTTGAACTCGACCCAGTCAGTTTCAAACTTAGACGTGACCGCTGGGGCCCCCTTGTCCCAGTCAAGGTACGTACTTTCCCGGGGTGAGAAAGGCGGGGGTGAGAAAGGTGGGCCGCGGGGCCTCCGCACTGCCAGGGCGGGGCGCTGTCCGCAGGCGCCTGCGCAGTCGGTGGCCTGCGCAGTCGGGGGCGGGGCTCGTCGGTGGCGCCGCCTCCCCGCGCCTCGCTGCTGTGCTTCACGGAGAACGCGTGCTGCGTTGACGTTGACGAGCTGTGTGTTTTTCGTTGTGCACCAGTGTAAACCAGGGCTTGTGCCTGGATGCGGAAGTGGCCTTAGCAACCGGGCAGCTCCTCGCCCCCAACAGCCACCAGTCCAGCAGTGCGGCCTCCCACTGCTCCGAGTCCCGAGGCGAGACGCCCTGCTCGTTCAACGACGACGACGAGGAGGAAGAGGAGGACGACTCCTCCTCCCCGGAATAAAGACAGGACGAAACCCACGTTTCCATGTTTGATGCTCATGTGTATTTGTAGTGTGAGCCCTTGTTTTGAAATGATTGCTTCAGCCCTTGCCTCTGTCTGCACTGTGCGTCCGGGTGACAACTAGGGACACACGACCAGCGACTCGCGCGCAGGCCGAGAGGACAGTTACCGTAGTGTGAGCGACCGCGCGGTCGGCCACCTCTCGGACACCGCGAGCTTTCCGGGGTGGCCGCAGGGGCAGTCCCGGGAGAACTGGGCCGCAGGAATGAAGCCCATTCGTCTCCCACGAGGTGGGATCTGTCCGCCTCCCACTCCCACGCGACCCTCCTCCCCTTACGAGGCCGGGAAGCCCGGGCGGGGCGGGGCGGGGCGGGTGGCGGCCCTGCGGCCCGGGCACGCGGGTGGAACTGCTGAACTAGGGGGAAGTCTAGTCGAGGTGCTTCACGCATCAGCTGCCTTAGACGGCTTCTAGAGAGGAGCGAGCGCTAATTCTTAAGTACTTAAGTGACACTTAGAGTAATTTATAGTGAAACCGAAATGATCGTTATTAGCCAATGCATTGGTGCATAGAATTTTTTAGGGCTACTTCTGGAAGCCAAAATAGAATAGCATTTCCACGTGCATTAAATACTTTGCCAGCACTGCCTTTTGCCAGCATTCTAAATCTGGAGTTTTACAGAGAAGGAAATTGTATCTATAGTTTGAATCAAAGCTATGCATTTCATACAGTGTTTTCATTTAAAACAAATTCCTTTGACTGAATTGCTTGCTTACGGTTTCCTGCAGTAACTGTGATTTCACCCAGTGTGCAATTGCTGAAAATGAACCAAATGTCATTACTTTTAAAAGAAAAGTCTATTTCCAGAACATGAATAGCAATGTTTTCCTATACATGTCACCTTCTATACATTTTCACTCATCAAAATGACCTTACTGAGTTTATTCCTGGGTGAACTGCATTCCGGACTGACCTGCTGTGGGGTTTCACAGAAACCTCCAATCAAGGGTGAGCTCTCCAGATGGTCTGTTACAGCAATGCGACAGCTGGCATGTTATTTCACAGCCAAAGTCGCCACCGGGGACACTGCACTGGTGTGTTCACAGTGACTGCTCCTCTGAACCGGGCAGCGTGGAGACATCTGCCACTGTGGCCAAACCCCAACATAATTTCACACTGAGGCCTTGAAAAGGAGTGAATAAGAATGGAAAGTTACTCTACATCTTTGTCTGGAATCATTTGGATTTGCCCCCAGTTTATGCATCCAGCACCAATCCGGCCCAAGTTAGCCCTTCTCTAACCCCCAGGGGTGCGTGCAGACGCCACGCGCTGCCTTTCCACACAGCTCTGCCCCTGTGCTCTTCTGGAGCCGGAGGTGATGTGCCGGCTGACCTCTGGGTTTGTGTAGGCCATAGAAACGAATACACAAAAATATACGACTTGAACCTAAGTTTCTTTGAGACTAAACTCATTCCCTCAGAAATAAACCATTGCGCAGGCTCAGAGTGTTCTAAGGGGCAGAGAGATAGAGGCGGGGTTTGGAGAATGAGGTCTCCACCTGAGTCTGCTGCAGGCAGATCAAACCGGCTTCCTTCCCAGCCGTCCTTTAAAAGGCTGCCTCCTCCTTTACTAAGCCCTGCCTTTCTCATCTCTACTCACAGAGGCACCTGGATAGGCCAAGGGCCACGGCTAGCCTTTTAGTCTTCAAAGTCCTGTGCTACGGTGCCCATCACATCTGTGACAGGTGCGGTCCTAACCCGTGCTCCACCAAACAGCGAACTCCTCACTCGAGTGTCTGGGAAACTGCTCTCTTCCCTTTCTCGTCTTCCCTCTTCTTTCCTGCTACTGCTGCTATAGTGTTAAATTGATAAAATACAGGTTTAAAAGAAAAAGCAACCAAAGACTCATTATTACCGGTGCCCGGTCACTGGCCACCTGAGCCCTAGGTGTGGGGTTGGGCCAGAAGTGGCCTCTGCCCTCGGTGAGGTGTTGGGTTGCTGCTGTGGACTTCGGACAGAGCCTCTGTGGTCATTGGCACACGCCGCTGGTTAAAAAAACCTTGCCTGAGCAGAAAACTGGGCCGAGGTGTTTAGAAAGATAAATTTGGTTATTCTACGTCTCCCCTGAAAGATTACCTGGGTCTAACCATTCAGACACCATTTTGTGTAGAAGTCAAAAAAAAAACAAAACCATGAGGAAATGGATTACACCATCCAGGCACCTTTATGGGAGCACCCCTTGGGTTAGGTGTGCACAGGTGTGCTTACATGTGGACACCCTCCCAGATCACACTTGGATTTGGGGGCAGTTCTCTCTTGACGGTCAGTTTATGTTCCCCTTGCCAGGGCATAGTACCCTTCAGCCAGTACGTTCTGGCTGTCAGTCCCCGTGTGGGTGGGGCAGTGCTGGAAGCACCCAGGCACCTTCCTGCCAAGGTTTCTTTCTCGCCCTTCCTGCTGTGAACCGAAGGTACCCCCAGCAGGTGCTGGTGTAGACTGCCCTATGGTCCTGGAGGCCGTGGTGGGGCAGCGGGAAAGGAGTGGCCAACGCAATTCCTCACCCCTCTTGATGCCCACTGGCCCTGGAAAACTAGACAAGTGGTGACCGGATGTTTTGTCTCCTCCCATTCAAGCCTGTGTAGGAGTGGTGGGGAGAAAACGTGATGTGGTTTCTGCCCTTTCACAGAATAGAAGAGGCTAACTTCCCTCCTCAGCAAAGATCACAGTGGCAGCCACGCTCTTCCATGCCTGAAAAATGCCAGGGCCAGTCCTCAAACACAAATTAGCCATCGCCCCACCACTGTGGTCTTTCAGATGGAGGCACAGGGGAGGGGTCGGTTGTAAAGCTCTTTGCTAATCCACAGCCCTGGCTACTTGGGTCATGGGGACAGCAGAGTTGCACAAGCGTCGCACATTGTTGTGACTCGGTGCCTGGGGAGGCCAGAACACAGCGCAGGCAGGTGGCCACAGGGGTAGGGTTAGCCAGGGCCGGAAAACACTGCCGCTGCCTCCGCCTGGACCATACAGAGGGCGCGCCGTGTTCTGCTTCATTGATTCACCTCAAGGGCTCTTTAAATACCTCTCTAGCTCTGTCCCCGCAGGCGTGTAAAAGAAGTGTGTCCGTGCCCAGAAAAACCTGTGGGGTGGACATGAGGGCTGTGCTTCCACAGCAGTGAACGTAAAGCGTCGTCCTAATAGTTGAGTGGACACAGAACAGAAAACTGGCTGGTTAGTGCTATGGAAAAACACGGCAGGGCGGTGGCTGGGGGGGGTTGGTAGGGCGCAGGGAAGTTCTCCCGGAGAAAATGACATCCGTCCTGCGCCAGACCATCCAGAGACACGACTCTACCTTCTCACCACCACACACTGTCCGATAACAAGCACCTGGCACCGCTGCTGAAATCGCAAAGGCCACGCTTTTCCAGTTGTAAGCACACATTTTGGCATGTGTGAAAGAATTTCAGTATTTAAAAGAAAACCAAACTCGGGTACCTGCAGTGTTCATAAACCAAGAGAAGATTCTACCAACCCACGAAGTTCTCATTATCAGCTTCATGACCTTCCGATCGAAAGGTAGAAAACTAACCACTTTTCTAGGTATTTTCTACTTGGACAAGTTATCGGATTCTATGAGGATCTACTTTTCTATGTGAGACACATAAAAGGTCGCCTTTCATTCTGCCTGTGTACGGGCGTCCGTGGAGCTGAAGGCTGCGTAAGGACCGTTTTCCCTAATGGGTTCCCCATTTTCACGCACCCACAACAGTCCCCAAACACCAGTGCAAAACCACATGGTTGTGTCGAAGGCACTGAGAGCCCACTGTGTGTGGGTTGGGGTGGGGGCTGCCCCCGAGCCACTGGACCCTCAGAAATGTGCCTTCTTGCGCTCCGATGGAAGTTCATACAGAGTGTGTACAACGTTCCACTAGTTTAACTCACTCATGCCAAATACTCTGCTAAAGAAAAAAGTCTTGATGTTTGCTTCAAATTTTACCTTTAAAAAATAGGGCTAAATATTCACATACCTTATAATACTTCTCAGGAATTAGCCCCTTCACACAACCAAGATATCTAAAAATTCTGTGTAGGTAACCTCTGGACCCAGTTTTCCCACACACCCCACACGCACACAATGCTAAGGAGAGAAAGCGGGAAGGCCCAGCAAGTGGGGCCGTCCGTCCACCATGCTGTCCGTGCAGGAGCAGGCCGACTCACTGATTCTGGCTTGTGCTGTGGTTCTCTCGGGCGAGGTAACTTCTAGACTCTTTATTACATGGTCGTCGCCTTCCACAAGGCGTGTGGAATTCAATGTTCCCTCCACCCCTTGTGCTCCAGCAGGTCGTACTTGGGGCCTCCCTGCTTATCAGCGGCGTTGGAAGTCGCTGTGGCTGAAAGGCAGAGGCAGGGCGCACCCCTTCTCCTCCAAGGGCCCCCGAAGGGGAGAGAACATCTCCACCCCACTCGGTGCCGTCACCGGTCCAATGGCCCTCGGCCTCTGGGACGGGGACCACGGCCCAGAATTCCTGCCTCCTGGGAACCACGGCCTCCGCACGGCCCTTCGGTCGAGACGGTGTGGGGACTGGCGTCGGCCCGACACACCGGGGCCCGCGGCCGAGGGCGGGAGTGGGACTCGGCCTGGGAGGCGCGGTGTCCGCCTCGGGCCTCTCCACTCGGCAGACCCCGGGGTTGGAGCCGCATCCGGGCGGAAGGGCCTCGGAGGCCGCGGACTGTCCAGCGCGCTGCCCACCGGGAGGGGCTGGAGGTCGAGTGACCAGCGGCCCTTCTCCACCGCTGTAGCTCGTTTCCGTTGGCGTCCGTCTGTCTGGCCCAGCGCAACAAGGAAGCTTCCCCAGATGATGCCTGTGCCCGTGACACGGGTCATCTTCACGTGCCGGGCACGGTCTGGCGGCAAACGGCCTGACTGCTTGTTCGTGGCGGAAGCCAGGTGTGTGTTCACACCGAAAGGTTTCCGAGGACCTTTCCGCTGCTGCGCTTCCGAGCCGTGCAGCTCGCGCCCGGCGGGACC